CACACACACACACACACACACACACACACGTACATCATAGTAATATTTCTTGTACTGCCTTAAAATAAGGGTAATTTTAATTTAAAAGATAAATTGTAATTGTAAATTTTAATAAATTGAAGAATTGTAACAAATTATATTACAGTATTACATTACTTAGAATTATTAAAAAAAAAAATGAAAGGAATTACAAAAAAGCTCAAAAGTAAAGCACCTGGATGCATTAAAGAATGTAGAATAAGAATTTTATGGAAAATGTGTTTGTGTCACAATGCAAATAATAATAATAATAATAATAATAATAATACAAAAAAGTGTAATGGGCCTAAAGCTAGGCTTAATTTTCTTACATTTTTCTTTAAAATATAAATTCTTGTTTATGTCTTTTCACTGTGGATTGAAAAGTGACCATGACTTGTGAGGTTCATCCTAACACAGAATCACCAACATATCTCCATATAACAAAATCCAAAAACAACCCCATCAAAAGGCTCTGTTAATTAGTATAACTACGTTTAGTGGTGTGTTTAACCTTTTCTTTGATCCACACCTCCAGACGGTCCACCTTCTTATTAAACTCCTGGAGAGTCTTAGCCCCGCCCATCGCCTTGATTTGATTGGCTGCCGTCTGTTTGAGCGCGTTCCACTGGTCGCGGATCTGAGCCAGCTGTTTCTTCACCAGGTCAGACGTCGGGTTAAGCTTGCACATTAATTGCTCTCCCATCTGCACAAACATTCAGCAGCGTTACATGAGCTACAAAAGACCTACGGCCCACTAAAACAACAGCTTAATCATATCAGCGCACTTGAAATCCACCCAAGTCCTCGTTCTTATGACTAACAGGAGATCCGGTTTTGCAACCCACCGGGGATGTGTGTCAGGAGAGGTTAATTATTTGCAATGTACTATTTCAACATGAAGGGAAAAGGACAAATTTAGCATCTGTGCTGGAAAAAAACATGGGGTGACTTGATATTTTGTGTGATTTTGGACGTCTCACAAAAAGCTTTCCGAGGCTCTGCAGGTCTTGTCAAAGCTGAGCTGTTAAAATCGTGGTTTGACAAATCGACATTAAAAAGAAGTTATGATTGTTACCATAACAATTTGTAAATGTTTTGCCGTTTATTTGCAAAAGGGAGAACTTCTTTTGTTGATTTTGGCCGAGGGACCTGTTGAAACCTGACGATGATTCATCAATCTTTTACTCTCCTAATGAAGACGGTTTGTGCTAACCTGGTTGAGTTGTATGACGGTGTTCTCAAAGTCCTTCAAATCTCTCTGGAGGGTTTGACAAAGTTCCTCCCAGTCAGTCAGAGGACATCTATGGACGTTACTGGCGTTCCTCAGGTCTCGCAGCTTCACTCGGATCCATGTCTCTGCCTGCGGGACACGAACATATAATGCTTACTTCAAAGTCAAGATCCTTTCCTTCTTACTAACTGAAGTGGAACCTTGTAAGCGGCTGATTTAGAACACAAAAGTGACAGGAAAGACATTCATAATGTTACAAAAGAGATCTATTTCAATGCTGTTCTTTTGAACATTCTATTCAACAAAGAATCCTGCTTCTTATTTAGTACTTTTGTCTCTTTTTCAATTACAAACATGTAAACATTCTTAAACCAAGATCAATGTACTTGAGAAGCAAATGAACTTAAATAGTAAGTCTGAAAATGTATGAAAATGAATCAAAAAGTTATTAATTATCAAGCAAATGTATCTTGATTTAGAAGTTATAAATATTTCTAATGGAAAAAAAAATTCAGTGTGAACAAAAATGCATCACAAAAAATATTAAGTAGCAAAACTGTTTTCAACATTAATGATAATCATAAGAAATGTTTCTTGAGCAGCAAATCAGCATATTAGAATGATTTCTGAAGGATTAGCATCTGTAAATCATTATATTTCTGGCACTGAAGACTGGAGTAATGATGCTGAAAATTCAGCTTTGCATCACAGGAATAAATTACACCTTAAAATATATATAAAAATTGTGTGCATTAAATTGTAATAATATTTCACAATATTACCGTTTTTACTGTATTTTTGATCAAATAAATGCAGTCTTGGTGAACAAAAGATCCATCAAAAATAAACAAAAAATTCTAGTGCATATATTTTTTATATTTTAGTCATTTTTAAAAGCTAATCTGATAATATAATAAAATATAATACACTATAATACACCGCTATCTAAACATCCTTGAATCAAGACACATTTACTTGAGAAACAAAATATGATGAATAATGAAGAAAAATTATGAATATTAATAAGATATGAAGTCTTGTTTTTGTTATTTTGTTAGTTTATGCTTAAAACAAGAAAACATATCCGCCAAAGGGGTAAGAAACATAATCTTAATCCAAATTTAAAACAAGATTATTTTTCTTGCCCCACTGACAGATGTATATTCTGAATGGAAGAAAAAACCTAATTTAATTCCCACTTAATTTTTCAGAAAGCAAAGCTTAACATCTTATGTTATTATACTTCTGAAGTAAATGTATCTTGGTTTAAGATTTTTTTAGATATGTGTGATGTAAAACAAGACAAAATTACTAATTACTAGACAAAAAAATAAATATAATATAATATAATATAATATATGTGACCCTAGACCACAGAACCAGTCATAAGGGTAAATGTTTCGAAATTGAGATTTATACATCATCTGAAAGCTGCATAAATAAGCTTTCCATTGATGTATGGTTTGTTAGGATAGGACAATATTTGGCTGAGATAAACTATTTGAAAATCTGGAATCTGAGGGTGCAAAAAAATCTAAATATTGAGAAAATCATCTTTAAAGTTGTCCAAATGAAGTTCTTAGCAATGCATATTACTAATCAAAAATTAAGTTTTGATATATTTACAGTAGGAAATTTACAAAATATCTTCAT